GCATGCTGGCTGGGGAATTCTGGGAGTTGAAGTCCACACTTCTTAAAGTTGCTGAGGTTGAAAAACACTGCATAAAGGCATCATTACATAGAACTATGATTATATGTGACTGTACAATATAAAGCGTGCCCAGGATATGCAACCTTTTTAATCTGGCCCCGTTCTCAGCAATGATTGTGGAGGAAAAGCTTTGATGAGATATTTTCCCAGACTGAGTTCCAACATTATAATAAATGGGGACTGAGCCTTAATCAGTCCTCTTAGTTTAGCAAAATGAAGACTCAGCTGTGAAAAAAAAAAAAAGCAGGGGCAGGGGGTTTCTTTTTGTAATCTCTCCAAGAGAAATCCTGGCACGTTTCAAGCTCTTCAACTTCCAGCATAATACCACAATTGTTTCTGCTTGAAGATTAAGAAGGAAAGCTGCTTGGCAGAATTTTCGTACCTGAGCTGCTGCAGATCTCTGTTGGACTTTTGTGGAGCAGGAGGGCCCAAGGAAAGCCCTGCACTGGTTGATTTATGGGTGGGAAGTATAAACCCAGACAATTGTGGCTTGTTCAATAAATCATACTTACCTGTGGCTTAGCACAACGTGTGAACCCAGCCAACTGCCAGTGCAAGTTTGGGAGTGGGGGGAGCTGTCAAGAATAGGGAGCTGGATCTTCTGGTAACCTGAACACCGTCTCCCTGGCAGTTCTCCACTTCTGATCTCTAAACCTCTTTTTGGCTTAGGGTATGCACATATTGGTGAGTTCTCTGTGCATACACAGACAATACTGCGGTTTGATTGAACCATGGTCTATTAAATAAGCCACAGTTGTATGGTCATATATCATGCAGTGCTAGAAACAGGCAAATCATACTATGGTTGATTTACTATGTGTGAACCCTGTCACTGACTTACATTGAATCATTGCATTTGGCACTTGTGAGCCACTGCATTATGCTTCACTGAGGCAGACTGAGGACTTTCTTAACCCTTGAAGTTGGGATCTAGGGATAGGCCAGTAACCTCCTGCATGGCTTTATCACAGGCCAGTGGGCTCTTCCAGGTCAATTCACACAATATGCTTAACTGGATTGCTGAATTAACCTCTTTTCTGAGTGTGTACAATACACTGAATTATAAATGAATCAGGCTAGTTTCACACATCACACACACACACACACCCCTAAATAAAGTTAAAACTAACCAAGTATCACACATTTGTTGATGAGCCTGCTAGGTAGTTCATTGATATGGTTAAGTGTGTTGTACGAACAGAATCTGTCCATGCAGGATCAAATTAAGCTGTTTTATACCAAGTCAAACCAGGATTGACTACAATGATTGGCAACAGTTTTAGATCAACAACTTCTCAGTCATCGATGCCCATTGATAAATGTTAAAAGGAGGTGCTGCACACTGAACATAGATCTTCATCCTTTTGGAATAGGGGCTTCCTGATTAGGCTTTGCCTGTGCAAACTCCCCATTTGTGGAATTTTACTGGTGTTTCAGTGGAGCTTTAGTTTCCCCCCCCCCCCATCAGGTCAAGATCCAGATCACTTCCACTTACTTTTCAACTGGAAAACCCGTTAATGAGGAAAGGGGCTGTTCCAGTATTGTTTGAATTAGTATTTTGAATTCATTTAGCCTAGTGCTGTCTTATCTAAATGGTAGATACATTCCAATATCTCAGACCAAGTTCCTTCTCAGCCCTGCTTCTTGAGGTATTTTACCTGGGAGAGTCTGTGAGGTATATCTTGGATCTCATACATGAAAAACCAGTACTGATTCTCCAGCCCTTGCTGAGCTATGGGCCTTATCAAGAAGACACTTTCTCCCATATGAGCAACCAACACTTGCTGTGATCAAATAGAAAAGAACCAGACAGTGTCATCCTTGAAAGTTACATGGACTTCTGCAAATCAGGGTTGGTGGCCCCAAAGCTGCAGGAAAGAGAGTCTGGAAATATACTGTATGTTGCTAGTTTCACTGCTTTGGATGGCCTGACTTCAAATGTCTTGATTTTTAAATATTTGCTGAAGAACTGGTGATATTCCTGATGATAGTCTTACACTTATCAGATGTCACCTCAAAAATTAAGACTGAAGCAGGATGTACATTTTGAATTTGAATCTCTTGTTCTACAGTTCCATTTTTGTTCCCTTTGTCTTCTCTTCCCTTCTTTTCATTATGATGCTGCCTTCCTGACATCAGTCTGCTGCTTCCTCCTCTGGTAAACAAACATTACCTTTTCCTGCTCCATTCTCAACTGTTTCTCAGTCCCCTTTCCCTCATGTCTCCTGAGTCCCCAGACTGTTTTTACAAGTGGATTATTGATACTAGCTGTGAGAGATCTCATTTTCGCCCAAGCCTTTGGTGTGGGTGACCGAAGCCCTCTTTTTCCCATCCAGTTTTGTTATTTCTGCTATCTTTATTCTTTTTTTGGTTTTTGTTTTGATTGTTGTTTCCTAGTTTTTAAATGTTTTTAACAATCTGTAAACTGCTCACAGTTTCTGGAAGTCTGGTGGTATATAAATTTAATAAATATTATTATTATTATTATTATCATCATCATCATCATCATCATCATCATCATCATCATCA